AATATTTTTAAGAAAATTGGACTGCAGGTGCTTATATGCACAAACACATAAATACATACATACACATTTGGGTACCCTGGATTTTTTAACGTTATTTCTGAAATATTTTTGCCTATTAATAAGTATATGTAGATTTGGATTCTAGCTGAAAACTTTCCTCAAAATATTCCATGATAGAGATGTACTATAATTTATTTACCAATTTTCCTAGTATTAAATATTTAGAGTTTAGGAAGAATAGTATATAAACACCTTTATACATAAATCTAAACTTCCAGCTATGTCTTTATTAAGAGTTTTTCCATTTTCATTTTTTACATGACCACTTATAAAATAACATAAACTTTCAGTTATTTCTTTAGACTAGCTTCTACAAAGAGGATGCCCTGAGTTAAAGAGTAAGAATATTTTAAGACTCTTGGTGAATATTAATTTACTCAATCAAAAAACATTTGCAGAGTCCCTGCTTGGGTCAGGCATGAGCTAGACACGACATCCCCCTATGAGAATGGTCTTGTCAAAAGGTAAACTATCACTCCTGTTTAAAGGAGTGATAGTCTTCATGATAACCGCCGTGATAGGGAAAGTACAGTATTACGGGAATGCACAGGTGGTAAGACTACTTTGGCTATGGGATTCCAGGAACACTCCCGGCTGGAATGACACCTGAACTAAAATATAAGGGAAGATGGATGAACCTGGTAAAGACTGGATCAAATAGGAAGAGGCCAAAGGAACAGCATCCGGACAGACCTTGGAAGCACCCGTGGAAGCACAAGTGGATAGCACTTGGGTAGATGGTAGATCCATTGTTTGATATAGAAACAAAAAAACAGTGAGTTTGTCTTATTTGTTTCTTTTGTTTGGGGAAGGGAAGAAGATGAAAAGTTCAACTAACACTTCAGTTCAATTGAGTACAGTCACTCAGTCGTGTCCAACTCTTTGTTAACCCATGAATCGCAGCACGCCAGGCCTCCCTGTCCATCACCAACTCCCAGAGTTTACTCAAACTCATGCCCATCAAGTCGGTGATGCCATCCAGCCATCTCATCCTCTGTCATCCCCTTCTCCTCCTGCCCCCAATCCCTCCCAGCATCAAGGTCTTTTCCAATGAGTCAACTCTTCATATGAGGTGGCCAAAGTATTGGAGTTTCAGCATCAACATCAGTCCTTCCAATGAACACCCAGGACTGATCTCCTTTAGGATGGACTGGTTGGATCTCCTTGCAGTCCAAGGGACTCTCAAGATTCTTCTCCAACACCACAGTTCTAAAGCATCAATTCTTCGGTGCTCAGCTTTCCTCATAGTCCAACTCTCACATCCATACACGACCACTGGAAAAACTATAACCTTGACCAGATGGAATTTTGTTAGCAAAGTAATGTCTCTGCTTTTTAATATGCTTTCTAGGTTGGTCATAACTTTCCTTCCAAGGAGTAAGCGTCTTTTAATTTCATGGCTGCAGTCACCATCTGCAGTGATTTTGGAGCCCAAAAACAAAGTCTGACACTGTTTCCACTGTCTCCCCATCTATTTCCCATGAAGTGATGGGACCAGATGCCATGATCTTAGTTTTCTGAATTTTGACCTTTAAGCCAACTTTTTCACTCTCCTCTTTCACTTTCATCAAGAGGCTTTTCAGTTCCTCTTCACTTTCTGCCATAAGGGTGGTGTCATCTGCATATCTGAGGTTATTGATATTTCTCCCGGCAATCTTGATTCCAGCTTGTGCTTCTTCCAGCGCAGCGATTCTCATGATGTACTCTGCATATATGTTAAATAAGCAGGGTGACAATATACAGCCTTGACGTACTCCTTTTCCTATTTGGAACCAGTCTGTTGGTCCATGTCCAGTTCTAAGTGTTGCTTCCTGACCTGCATACACGTTTCCAAAAGGCAGGTCAGGTGGTCTGGTATTCCCATCTCTTTCACAATTTTCCATAGTTTATTGTGATCTACAAGGTCAAATGCTTTAGCATAATCAATAAAGCATAAGTAGATATTTTTCTGGAACTCTCTTGGTTTTTCAATGATCCAGTGCATGTTGGCAATTTGATCTCTGGTTTCTCTGCCTTTCTAATTCCAACTTGAACACCTGGAAGTTCTTGGTTCATGTATTGCTGAAGCCTGGCTTGGAGAATTTTGAGCATTACTTTACTAGCGTGTGAGATGAGTGCAACTGTGCAGTAGTTTCAGTACTCTTTAGGATCGACTTTCTTAGGGATTGGGAAAAAAACTGACCTTTTCCAGTCCTGTGGCCACTGCTGAGTTTTCCAAATTTGCTGGCATATTGAGTGCAGCACTTTCACAGCATCATCAGGATGTGAAATAGCTCAGCTGAAATTCCATCACATCCACTAGCTTTGTTTGTAGTGATGCTTTCGAAGGCCCACCTGACTTCACATGCCAGGATCTCTGGCTCTAGGTGAGTGATCACACCATTGTGATTATCTGGGTCATGAAGATCTTTTTTGTACAGTTCTTCTGTGTATTCTTGCCACCTCTTCTTAATATCTTCTGCTTCTGTTAGGTCCATACCATTTTTGTCCTTTATCAAACCCATCTTTGCGTGAAATATTCCCTTGGTATCTCTAATTTTCTTGAAGAGATCTCTAGTCTTTCCCATTCTGTTGTTTTCCTCTATTTCTTTACATAACTAACTAACACTTAATTTTAAGTATTTCTGGATTCTTGCAGAGAACCCAATGAAACTTATTATACAATTAGAAAAAGATCAGAGGAGGGAAGACTGAATGGAACACAAAATGCCTCCATGGAGGGTGGTTCCGCTTAGAGAGAGAGTCTCTCCAGCCTCCCGGCAAGGGTGAATTCTCACATGGGTGCAGCAAAACATAGCTCTCAGGAAAACAGGATAATAAGCTCCCAAAATGCTTCTCTACTCCTACCTTCTCTAAAATACTTAACATTATATTTCAGAAATGAAAACTGTAATTCCACAAGTAATTTTTTTAAAAAAAAGTTGGTACTTCCCTGGTGTTCCAGTGGTTAAGAATCTGCTTTCCAATGTAGGGTATGTGGGTTCGATCCCTGATTGGGGAACTAAGAACCACATGCTGTAGAGAAACTGAGCCCATGCTTCAGAACAAGAGAAGCACTCATGTCTTATCAAAGACCCAGTACAGTCAAAAAGTAAAAGAAACATAATAAAAATGCAATGTTGCCACTTGTAAATCCATGGCTGATTCATGTCAATGTATGGCAAAAACCACTACAATGTTGTAAAGTAACTAGCCTCCAACTAATAAAAATAAATGGAAAAAAAATAAAATATTATCTGGAAAAAAAAAGGCAATGTTGCATAAAATAGAATAAAATGTTGCTTGGTACAATTTAACCACAATGTCATTAGATAGGATGATACTAGCTCCTTTCTTAAAAGCAGGTTTTCCACTATATAAGATGGTATACAGGTTCAAGTGATGTGACAAAGGCCAAAGTAAAGTAACTTAAAAACAAGATCGACTGTATTTCCATCTCATGTTGCAGTCCAAATATAAGCAATTCAGGGCAGATATAGGAGATCCATAGCTTTGGTGATGGCCTTAGTCCAATTGGGCTAGTATAATAAAAATAGCACCGTCTAGAAGCATAAGGAACAAACATTTATTTCTAACAATTCTGAAGGTTAGGGAGTCCAGGATCAAGGTACCAGTGGATTGGGTATCTGGTGAGGACCCACTTCCTGGTTCATAGACCACCATCGTCCTGCTGTTTTGTCGTATGAAGGAACAGGCAAGGTAGATCCCTGGGGTGCCTTTTATTTATAAGAAAATGAATTCCATTCAAAAGACCTTCACCCTTACAACCTAAGAATTTCCCAAAGGCCCCATGTCCTAATACCATCACGCTGACAATAGGTTTCAACATACAGATTTTGGCAGGACACAAACATTCTGTTCATAGCAGTGACTAAGTTTCTCATTGCTATGCCTCCCTCAAAACACACTTCTACTCGGGGTCCAAGACATGTACAACAATCCGCACAACAGTCCTTCCAATTATCACAATTTTATGATTTAGGAGATGAGGCATATAGATTGTAAATGGCTGATCCACTGTGACATAGTTACTAAGAAGAAGAATCATAAAATATAATTTATGCTTAGCCATCTTTCCATAGAGTCCTTAAAATGAGATAAAAGAGAGGATAAAAATAAATATTATAAATAAAAACTCCATTGAATTTCTGGTTTTACTTAAAAGTTACCTGTTTATAAGGAACATTTTCCAGTAAGCATAGAAAAAAATATACTAAGCTAATTTTCCTCTTCAAGATAAAACAAGCCAATTACCAGGACCAAATGACAAAACAGAACTTCAAGGAAACTTATTTGCTCCCTCCTAGCCACCTCAGTAAACAGGGTAAATATAGACCTGAGCACACAGTGTCCCTTCCCTAGTCCTCCATTATAAAAGGTTCTTCCCTGGCCATCCTCCCACATCTCTGCCTGGGAGAAGTCCACTGAGCCAAAGAGATATCTCTTCTAGATCTTGCTCTCATTCCCCAGATCCCAGGATTCCCTGCACACAAGAATTCCCCAGATCCACTTTTAACGTCTGCATGTGCTTCTTCCAAGGACCTTCTTCCCTAATGTAGATATTCCACCAGTGTATACACAACCCAAGCCCAAGGGTAGTCAAGGAATGGCTCTTTACAGGGATTGTAATCATGTAGGCTAAGGTATACCCATCAAGAAAAGAATCCAAAAACAGATCTGGGTATATATAGGAATTTAGCATACTATAATGCAGTATCCCAAATCGATGGAGCAGGTGTGAAGTTTTCAATAAGTAGTGTTCTTATGGATGTCGATCCATTTAGAAAAAATAAATGTAGGTCTCTACATAAAAATTAATTTATTTTGGGATATACTCCTTTGAATCATATGGTTCAAACTGGAGCTGCTAATTTCTTGCAGAATTATCCCCCAGCCACCACTAATTAATTGGTCACATGTAGAGCAAAGCTGGGCTAACCCTAGTAGCCAGCACAACTTGTCCAGGGAACAGCATCTGCCTCACACTGAGTCAACCAGAGCCCTTCCTGGGAGGTTCTAAGCTGAAAAGAGAAAAAAAGAGAGGCATTGAGTCCAGTCCTTCACGAGGGGATACGTAAGAAGATGGGAGCACAGGAGCTGTAATCAGCCTACATGTTTACACGACATACTTAAATCCTCCATTGTTTTGAATCCTCCTCGCATTATGTCTCATTTGCTTCCTCTTCTCCATCCTTCAGAGTCAAGTTACCTCTACTTCCTTTTGTCACATAGCATTTTATGCACTTCTCTGTCTGAGCACTTACCAAACTGTTGTGAGTTATCATTTTACTGTTCATTCCTACAACCAACACTTTTTATTAACAGGGACTATTTTGGGAGTTAGGGCTACACCACTGTTGAAATCTATCTCATGCCTGGAGGAGCCTATAGGCTGATGAGAAGTGGAGTGGTTAGACTACACTTCTGAGAGGCAGGCTGCCTGGGTTTCAATGTACTGTTGACCAGTTCTTTGACTTAAGTAAGATAGGTAAATTCTCTGAGTTTGAATGCCTTCATCTATAAAGTGAAGCTCATGAGGAGAGTTGTGAGAATTAAAGGGCTTCACAAATGTTTGGGATCACACCTGGCATCCACAGATCAAGGATGCTTTCTTTCACCTCTTTATGATCAGTGCTCAGCAGAGTAGCTGGCACACAAGGATTTATTTCAATTATACTTCCCAAATGAACAAAGTTTGTGGCTTTACAAAAAAAAATAATAATAAATTAGTTACAATGAAGGACAAATCCTGGAGCCACACCACCACCTTGTGGAGGGATATTAAGGCTTCAGGAGCATGGTTTTCTGTGCTCAGGGGTTTATATTCAGCTCTCCCTGCAGCCCCAACCACTGTGTCGCTCACAGCACAGAAGTACAAGGCAGAGTCACTCCCTACAACAGATGGTTTCTTCAGGTGGAAAGAGGTTTGGCTCTTGTTAAACTCAGCCTCAAAACCGTAGTTGCCTTGAACCAACTTGTCCCCTCCGATGTATCTCAGAAGGAACTGGAGACCTTGATTGCGATGTTGGACATACCAAAAAAGATAAGGGCTCCCTGACACTGAATAGGTGCACTTCACAGTCACTGGATCCCCTTCCGAGACAGCGACCTGATCTTCTGGCTGAGTCACCGACTGAGCTCTCAGTCCACCTGGAAATTAACTCACATTAGTGAAGCTTCTGAAAAAGAACCTAAGCGGGAAATACAAGTGGAAAACGAGAAGGGAGTGTCACTCACTGAGCATAAACAGAATCCCAAGTGTGCAGATGTGCGCAGAGGCCATGGCTCCCGCTGGCCTGGATGCGGACTCTTCTGCAGCTCACCTCTGCTGGAGATAGGGCACCACCCCAGAGACTATGTTCTCCACGAGCACAGCGTTTTACAAACGCCCCCTGCTGCTTCCCGGCACCTGTATCTTCTCTCTGAAGAGCAAGCTCTTCCCTCAGACCTCCGTGAGAAGCAGGACTGCAGCACCTCCTGCACTCAAGACAAACCGCACAGAGCAGCGCCCCCTAGAGCCCACTTAGAATCAGGAGACTTTCCAGGCTAGTAGCTCAGCCGCTTAACTAGTGACTCAGCGGTAAAGAAGCCGCCTGCCAATGCCGGAGACTCAGGTTCCGTCTTGGGTCAGGAAGATCCTCTGGAGGAGGAAATGACAACCCACTCCAGTATTCTTGCCTGGAAAATTCCATGGACAGAGGAGTCTGGGCGGGTTACAGTCCATGGAGTCACAAAGAGTCAGACACGACTGAGCGTGCCCCCACACACACCACAACACACACACACACACACACCCTCTTATCACTGGACCAGTCCTCTGGATGTCTACATTTTGCACTGGTGTTCAAGGAGAAGAATCAGGGATGTATGAACTAAAGTCGGAAAAAATTCATCCTGGGTGGAACAAGTTTTAAATGGTTTACGCTCTCTCAAAGTAATACAGGGACAGAAAGAAGGAGAAAGCATATTTTGATAGGATGGGGCAATAAATAGAAAAAAGAAAGGAAAGCATAACTTTGAATGGAGAGAGAAAAAAAAGTGAGAGACAAGAAAAAACATACTAAGGGAAAAGAGTAAGGCAAGAGAAGACGAATGGTAAGAATGAGCTTACTTATCTCTTTAGAAATAATTTAGAGCTGACGTCCAATTAAACCTCTTTGACCACAAAATAACTTGGGTTTTTCTTTTGGTTGGGTCCTTGGGACCTCGCCCTATAATATTTAAATAGTCATACAAGAAGAACTTGAACCTTCTCTTTAAACATTTTTAGAGAGAGAAAAAGAAGGGATGGTGTTATAAACTTGTTATAAATATTTGTCCTATTAAACAGTATGTTTTACAGCTAGAAAACTTCTATGAAGGCTTGCAAAAATAGAAATTTTCCACATAGAAAGCCTACTTAAAACAGACATCAGATGAAATACACATGGATTAAAAGTTGATGGTTAACTAAGCTTCAGGTATTATGATGATGACAAAGGGTTCATTTTAAGGGGACGACAGGCTAAAGTTTTACACTAAACACTGCCACAGTAGATTATTCAGTAGAGAAGAACTTAAAGAATATAAGCAAGTATCAATATGAAGAAGTTGTTTCTCTGATTTTCCTTATTTTTCCCTTAAATAAGATCCAAAGAAACAACCCAATTTAGAAAGAGGATAGAAAATCTCTTTGCTTTGAATCAGAAAAAAAAAAAATGTGGAACATAGCTATTTCTCAAAGCTTGGCTAAGGATCACATACTTAACTAATTGAAACCTTGACCCTATTATAATGTCTTTCTTTGAAATATGTAAGTTCTCTTTAAATAATAATGTTCAAATCCCAAAGAGGCCTAGGATGAATGCAAAAATAGAATAAATTTCTTCTCTTTCTGTCTAGAGCTTAACTGTTAATGTTGTATCTTAAAAGATACTGGCAGTCATCTCCAGAGGAATGATTGGGAAAAGCTTAAAGAAAGGAATATTTTTAAATACGTGTGCAGGATTAGGGGAAATCTACAAGAGAAGGTAAAGCACCCTGGGACCAACACAGTAAGAAGACGTCACCACTCCTAGGCTTGAAGGGACAGAAGAGGAAGAAATTATCCCAGCCTGGGAGACCTGGAACTGAGGTGGATCCACAGGACCTGGGGATCTCAGCACAGGAAAGAGAAGATCACAGAATATAAACAGGCTAGCCACTCTTTCCTGCCAGTGCCTCCCACTGGGCCAAACCCAACTAGACGCAAAAAAGACAAGTGCATTAAGTCAGCCTCCTGGGTGTAGAGCGGAATGGAGAGTATACTTGGAGAGGAGAACAGAGAACATCCAGTCCCCTGACACTGGGTTTCAATTAAGTTCAGTTAAGTCGCTCAGTCTTGTCCGACTCATTGCGACCCCATGAACCGCAGCACACCAGGCCTCCCTGTCCATCACCAACTCCTGGAGTTTACTCAAACTCATGTCCATTGAGTCGGTGATGCCATCCAGCCATCTCATCCTCTGTCGTCCCCTTCTCCTCCTGCCCCCAATCCCTCCCAGCATCAGGGTCTTTTCCAATGAGTCAACTCTTTGCATCAGGTAGCCAAAGTATTGGAGTTTCAGCTTCAGCATCAGTTCTTCCAATGAATACCCAGGACTGATCTCCTTTAGGATGGACTGGTTGGATCTCCTTGCAGTCCAAGGGACTCTCAAGAGTCTTCTCCAACACCACAGTTCAAAAGCATCAATTCTTCAACACTCAGCTTTCTCACAGTCCAACTCTCACATCCATACATGAGCACTGGAAAAACCATAGCCTTGAATAGATGGACCTTTGTTGACAAAATAATGTCTCTGCTTTTTAGTATGCTATCTAGGTTAGTCATAGCTTTTCTCCCAAGCAATAAGCGTCTTTTAATTTCATGGCTGCAATCACCATCGGGTTCCCTATCAATCAGACAAAATGTGGATTTATCCTAAATGTCTGCTCAGGCATATCCATATAGCACTTTGATTGATGTAGCAAGATAAACAAGTCAAAACAATAGTCCAATATAGACTTTGGTACCATAACTAAATTTTCCAGGTAATTGCCTAATCTCTACTTCTTCTATCCTATACAGATATAGCATACAAAGCATGTAGAACTATGCCTAATTAGTGCAAGTGACTCATTGTGCTTACCTTCAACTATTTAATAATTAATTTCAAGAGATAAAAATGAATTAAGCCTTTAAGAGGCTACACATCCAAAGGATGCCTAGGGCATCAACTGAGCTTTCAGAATTGAACAAAATAGATGCACTAGCTATTCTTTAATGTGCTTTATGAGATTGATGAGGGTATTATTCCTCAAATGCCTACTGTAAGCATAATGTTAAGCCAATTACATTTCTTGACTTATTTTTCTTCCTAATATTTTAGAGATGAAAATATTAGGAGTTCAGGAATATTAGATTATTTATTCAAGCCATCCTTAAAGAAACAGAACAAAGATTTTTAACCCATACTTTTCTGACTGTAAAAGCATAAATCACATTGAGAATTTCAATTTTGATCATTTACTTTTTTAAAATACCTTACAATATTGGAAACTAATTTCATTATCCTAATAAAGTTATACAATCATATTCTTCAATGTGCTACTTACCTTTAGAGGCTATCTTTTAACTGGGTGTTTACCAAATACTGACTTCATATGTATGTGCCACTTAATCAAAGCAGCCCCTAGATCATTGCTTCTAGGAGGTCCTCAGACATTTAAAGAACTGAATGAGCTACTGACCTCAAGAAAACATTAGCAGCAATGCAGATATGGCCAGCAGCAGACAGAGCAGATAAATCTAGGGAGACCTTGGACAGCTCTGCACCCACTGCATTGGACTCTCCACATTTAGTCTCAGCCCTACTGTGCATGTTTAGTCTCAGGAGCCTTAGAATAGCTTTCTCAACCAATAATTTTTTTATGAGAAGTAAATCTCAAAAAAAATGGAAATTTCTATATACGTACAAACTTCCAGGATTTGGGAGTACAGGGAATTTTACTCTCCTGTGAATGTTTCACAAGTCACCATTGAACTGAGACCTTCATGATGCTTTTAAGACTGTGCTGTCACTGAGCTCTCTTCTTCATAAATGCTGTCTCATCAACTGTATTTTCCCCTTCTTATATTTCATTCTTGTCCCGCTTCCCCTCTGGGAAGAACTTACCTTTGGGTAAGAACACCTTTAGTGTTCTACATGTAAGCTGGAAAAAATCTGGTAAGAAGACTAGTTGTTAACAGTTTAAACAATAGAATCAAAACACCAACGTCAAAGGTAGGGTTTTCAATATGTCACTCCTCAATGAACTGAAAAGAACTTCCTATACAAACAAAAGGAATTTTCTGTCTCTTCTTGCTTGCCAAAGCAATGAAGGGCCATGTGCTTATTCACTGCTTATGGAGCAACAACAGTACGCATGCAGAACTCATGAAGAAGATGCACACATGGCTCATCTACTCAGACATTTCATTTGGTCAAAAGGTAAGATTAACACAGTTTTAAACAAGCAATAATCCAAAACAGAATATGCCTAAAGAAGCGGTACAAACATATATCAATTTATATGTGTATACAATTTGGATGTTACTAAAAGCACAGTATGGGCTTCCCAGGTGGCGCTAGTGATAAAGAACCCACCTGCCAATGCAGGAGACATAAGAGACACAGGTTTGATCCCTGTGTCGGGAAGATCCCCCGGAGGAGGGCATGGCAACCCACTCCAGTATTCTTTCCTGGAGAATCCCATGGACAGAAGGGCCTGGCAGGCTACGGTCCCTAGGGTCGCAAAGAGTCGACTCAACTGACTCTTAGCACTTAGAGTCACAACTTAGCACGAAGCAACTTAGCACACACACAAAAGTAGAGAATAGTGGCTAAAGCCTCAAGATCTGGGCTCCTGAGATTGGGATTCTCACATCAAACTTGGATGAGCAATAGAACTTCCAGACATTTATAGAAAATACAGACTTCTGGGTCCCATCCCTGCAAACTATGATTCAGTTACTCTGGAATGCAGGGAGAAAAAATCTACTCTTTTTAACAAAACTCCAGAGACTTCTGATTAAAAAAAAAATTGGGAATCACTGATCTATCCTAGGACTTTAGTCTCTAAAGTGGGAAGGAAAGATCTGGGTAAAAAGACAAAGATAATTTAACATGGATATGGGAAGAATATATTTCAATTTATAGTGTATATTTTAAAGTTTAAAAATTTGGAATAAGGTTGAGGTTTGCTAATATTTCATATACTAATTGACACTGGCATCCTCACTGAGTCTATATATCAAGTAATAAGTAAAATATCCTGAGAGAAGGATTGAGGTTTCAAACTCAGGGCTGTTGGTAGTAGCTATTCACTCATTTGTTCCCTTTCAGCTAATTACACTATTGAGTGTTAACTAAAGTACATTTTACAAAATGTATGTGTAACTCCATGGACTATAGCCCTCCAGGCTCCTCTGTCTATGGAATTGTCCAGGCAAGAATACTGGAGCAGGTTATTATTTCCTACTCCAAGGGATCTTCCTGACCCAGGGATTGAACATACATCTCCTGCATTGGCAAGCAGATTCTTTACCACTGAGCCACCTGTGTCTTAAAAAAATTTTCACAAACAGAGTGAAGCTGGCAGATAACATTTAAAATGCAGAAAGCAAGAAGAAAATAGCAGAGTGGACATGACTCTTCCTCTCTGCTATTTTCTTCTTGCTTTCTGCATTTTCATTTTAAATATTATCAGCCAGCTTCATTCTCTTTGTGGAAATTTTTTTTAAGACACAGGTGGTGCAGTGCAGCCATTTTACAGAGGAAAGCAAAAATAATCCAGGCATATTTCAAAAGAAACAGATCAGAAGTGTTTCAGTTATCCAAAAGACAATTTTAAGCATGAATTTACAGAACCATTATTGAAACACTCCATAAAAACATATTTCCCTGTGTACCTTACAGATAGTGCTGTGCTGTGCTTATTTACTCAGTTGTGTCCAATTCTTTGCGACCCCATGGACTGTAACCCTCCAGGCACCTCTGTCCATGAGGATTCTCCAGGCAAGAGTATTGGAGTTCTCCTCCAGGGAATCTTACCCAGGGACTGAACCCAGGTCTCCTGCATTGCAGGCAGATTCTTTACCATCTGAGCCACCAGGGAAGCCCAGGAATACTGGAGTGGGTACCTTAACCCTTCTTCAGGGAATCTTCCCAACACAGGAATAAAACCGGGGTCTCCTGCATTGCAGGCTCATTACAAGCTGAGCTACAAGGGAAGCCTATATATAGTGTTTGGACTCAAATGTTTTTTCTGATAGTGCAAATGGAAAAACTTGGGGAATGCTGAATTGGGAGTAGGAGGGGAAGCAGTTATTGTTCATCTTTCTTCCACATCCTGCAAATGCTGTGACTTCTCCTTGTTTCTGTTCAGCTCTTCATGGATTCCCTGCTTCTGTGTACCTCAGAGCACAATAATAAACCCCTGCATCTGCCGTCTGCACCTGGAGGATGAGCAGTGATAAAGAGAACCTCTTGTATGTCATGTTGTAGCGTCCCTGTTGAGAAGGCCGTGAGCCCTTAATGAGGAGTCTTGGTGCAAATCCTGGGAAGTGAAGGTACCAGAAGAAGCCATAAACATTGGATATAGAGTGATTACAGGAAATTTCTGCCACAGCTCCCTCCAAAGAGACCACAGTGGAAGGCTGAAATACTTGGTCCTTGCTCTCTGCAACTACAGGAAACAAAAAAAGAAGGTTGTGAGTTTTAAATTTTAAATAAATTTTAAAACAAAGGCATACATTTTTCCAAGACCAGTTGGTGAAAAAGCTTACTCACCCTTCCAGTGAGAGCTGAGGAGGAGACCCAGCCACACTGCTTCCAGAGTGCTCTGCAAAGCCATGGCCAAAATGCAGCTGGTCTCAGGCCTGTTGCCTCAAGTGTGACACCCACAGGAAGCTGATTATAGGCTGCCTGTTTTGCCTTTTCTTCTGTGTCATGACATCATCAGTCAGAGTCTGTGAACCACGAAGAATCACTATAGTTCTGAGGCTACTTAATAACTTCATCTGTACTTTGTTCTGAGCAGGGAGTCTTAAAACAGGAGATGCCCTGCTGGAGGAAATGGCAACCCACTCCAGTATTCTTGCCTGGAAAATCCCATGTACAGAGGAGCCTGGCAGGCTACAGTCCATGGTGTCACAAAGAGCTGGACAGGACTTAGCAACTGAGCACACACACATCCTTTCAGAGGTCATCATAGCTGTGCATTTAAGAAGGCATTAATCATTTAAGAAACTTGCTTCCTTCATTAACGGTACCAGAAAGTCTCACAATAATGGGAGGAGACTGATTGGTCATTCAAACTAAAGTGATAGGTTCACACAAAAAAGTATGCTGAACTTATCACATGTCATATAATGCTATGCTAATATATTAAAAATAATGATCGTGAAATCTTACCTGTGGTAGATGAACAATGCATATTTTTAAGGCACAAAAATTACAATGTAAATTACAATATTCATCAAAGTTTGACTCTTTGCATCCAAGGTGATCTCTGGAATAAGTATGGAAGGAAAATCTCACTTATATTTTTCTGTAACCAAAAGATACTGGGTCTAGAAAGACCCAAAATTTCATCTGGAGATGACCTTTCTTGGATAGTGAAAGTGAAAGTCACTTAGTCGTTTCCAGCTCTTTGTCACCCCATGGACTATACAGTCCATGGAGTTCTCCAGGCAAGAATACTGGAGTAGGTAACTGTTTCCTTCTCCAGGGGATCTTCCCAACCCAGGGATCGAGCCCAGGTTTCCCACATTGAAGGCTTTTGGATAGTACCTATCTTCATTATATAGCCTGAGACTGTCCCATCTGTTACTAATGAGGGCTTAGTAGTTCTACCTGAGGGTTTTATACAGATTTTAATGGGATTTTATTTGAAAAAGAAGAGAAAAAAAGATTTGTGGCAATTCAAGTTTAATCCCGTAGCATTTATATGTACGCCATCACTGCCTAGCGGGCTACATGGGAACTGATGGAAGATCATATCCCAAGCAGCCTTTGAGACACTCTTCATAGCTTCTCACAACCTGAAGAGACTTTTTTTGCCCCTTGCTTTTGTTCAAATTCCTCTCCTTTATTCAATATCCAAGGGATATGAAGACTATAGAGAGGAAATAATCACCTTCTTAGAAAGCCTTCTGGTTAACAAAAGATGTTCCTCATTCAGGTGAGTGATTATTTAAAATACACTTCCATAGAGTGAAATATTTCTTTTCTTCATCCTAAAATGGTTGTTTTATTCATTTTCTTTTCTATCTTTTTTTAATGGTCTCCCAGGTCAGGAAAAATTAGTTTCTTCCCCAATATTTTTTTCTTTTTTTACTGGGAGATTCTTTAATAATGATAAGATGATCACTTAGGGCTTCTTATTTACATATAGATATTCTCAGGTGGTGCTGTCAATGTAAGAAACATAAGAGACTTGGGTTAGATCCCTGAGTGGGGAAGATCCCCTGGAGGAGGGCATGGCAACCCACTCCAGTATTCTTGCCTGGAGAATCCCATGGACAGAGGAGCCTGACAGGCTATGATCCATAGGATTGCAAAGAGTCAGACATGATTGAGCGACAAACACTGAAATGACCACAAAAAGCTTCCAAATAAATTATGGAATTTCAGTATGGCTGTAAAATTAAAATAGAGGAATCAAGGCAAGTGGATGCAGATTCATTTAGTAGAAAAACTAATATAGCTACTATGGTTAATTAGAGCTCTGAAATTTCTGAAAACTGGAACATAAAAGGTAACACAAAGAAAATACAGTTATACAAATAACTGATTAAGGGTTCAGGCAGGTTCTTCTTTAAAGCCAAGTGGTCTACGGCTATAGATAACTTAAAACTCTTTTTAGATTAATGGGTATGTACTTCTGGTTCACAGCTTCTAACTACCGCAAAATGTCTTACCATGGGCTTCCTCCACATTTACCTATCCAATCCCCTAGTGATGGACTCCAAGGTTGCCTCTAACTTTCATCAACACAGCAATAAATGTTTCTGTATTCCCCCTTAGCCATGCAAGAACTTCTTTGGGATATGTATTAATTAAGGATGCCGTTGTTCAGTCACTCGGTCACGTCCAACTCTTTGCAACCCCATGGACTGCAGCACGCCAGGCTTCCCTGTCATTCACCATCTCCCAGAGCTCGCTCAGACTCATGTCCATTGAGTCAGTGATGCAATCCAACCATCTCGTCCTCTGTCATCCCTATATATATATATATATATATATATATATATATATATATATATATAAGAGAAATGCATCTTTATTTTTCCCCATTGAGCAGGACAGTTTTCCCAACACTATCTACAAAATAACCCACCTTTCTCCCACAGATCTGTTTTACTATGTTTATTATATATAATATTACCTATGAATTTGCTCTGTTCTTGAGTTTTATATTTTATATCATTGATCTAGTTGTTTCTATAACACTAATACTACCATACTTTTTTATTAGCTTTATAAACCAATATGCTTTATCAAGACGTCCCTTTAATCAGCCAGATTTTCAGATGCAATTCAATAAAATCTACTCTGACTAGTTTATGCAGAAAAAATTAAGAGATATTAAAAGAAGAGGTAGGTAGTGAAGATTCAATGCTATATAGTTAAAAAGAATTCTCAAACACATCTCATGCAATGCTCTAATCAAGCAATTGAATCTCATCACCACTCAGCCCCAGCACCACAAATGCACTCCACCAGGAACAAGGGCCCCAAGTATTGAATATTCAATGCTCTTCCATTAGTATCCGTTAGTATATAGACACAGTCTATTCCATTAGTATATAGACACAGACCTCACTATATACATTACAGGATACATCGGCACCACAGCTACTACTGGTGGACTACAATGAGCAGTAGAGTAATAGTGGTCACTCCTGTCTTTCTTAGACCATGAAGACAATGCACCTAAAATATTCCCATAAAGACACTTCCTTTGTAGCCTAGTACTTGTTCAGTTTTTGAGAATGTCCTATGTGTTCTGGGAAAGACTACATATTTTTTATACATCTCGTCAAGTTCTCTTTAAGTATATTTCAATCAGTTTCTACCTCTAAACTACTATCTCTACAGGAAACCTAAAGTTCAGCTATTTTTGACAAGTTACAAATCAATATGGACTGCCTGTTAAGATCAGAGTGGAAATAAATGAAGTAGAGACTATTAAAAAATAGAGAATAACAAATGAAACCAAAAGTTAGTTCTTCATAAAGATCAACAAAAGTGACAAGCCATTAGCTAGTTTGACTAGAAAAAAAGGAAAAAAAAACACTAAAATTATCAAAATTGAGAATGAGAGCATTAATACTAACCTTATATAAATAAAAAGGGTTACAAGGGAGTACTATGAACAGTTATATCAGAAAATTTGATAGCTTATATGAAATGGATAAATTCCTCGGAAGACTCAAACTACCAAAACTGAATCAAGAAGAAATGGGAAATCTGAATAAATCTACAAGTTAAAAAAATCAAATTAGTCATTTTAAAAAAATCCCAGAAAAAAAAAATAAAGTCTAGGCTCAGATGGCTTCCCTGGTGAGTTGTACTGAATGCCTAAAGATTGAACCCCAAGCCTCCATAAGTTTTTCCAAAAAAGAAAAGCTGAACAAAAGGGAATGTTTTCCACTTTATGATTATGAGGGAACAATGAATGCTGAGAACATTCATGATTCTGCCCAAGCCGAATTCTCCTAAAACTTCTCAGAATACTTCTTTTCATTCTTCTTGTCTGACTTCTCTCCCTTTTCATGGGCATTCCTTAAGGTTTCATTTCTAGACCCTTACCTCCTGCTCTTTATCTCTCTGGTAGTCTTTTCAAAGATGAAACTTTGGAGAAGTAGGTGAACCATTTATTTTTAAATATATAACCCGACAAGCTCGGCATATAGTCATACAAGTGTGTACCTCCCAACCCCAGGAGAATGCCTCCTATCACAAATCCATTGATTTGTATCTCTATTACAATTTTTCAGCAAATTGTATCTCTATTACAAAATTTCAGCAAATTGAGACTTTATCTCACAAAAGTCAGTAAATTGCAACCACATTACAACCTATTGTCACTCACATAAAAGTGCCATAATGACCTAACTCCAATATTCCTAGTGCGTTAGGACCACAAAGGTAACTAACAATTTCTTAACAGAAAAATTCAATTGTCTTAAGACACACTATTATAAAGAAGCCAAAATCTGAATTATCCTTTTCAGACAAAGCCTGTTTCTCTTCCTGACTTTCAATTCCTGTGATTGTTTCCATCAATCACCTAGATTTGAAATCGTAGGCTAGTTCACTCATCCCTCCAATCTATTGTACACAACAACAGAGTAAGTTTAACCTGCCTCTGAGATATAACAAGAGGCACAATAAAGGAGTTGGTGATGTTTGCCGACAGCGAATAAGATGCAAATAGGACATCTACCAGGTGTACAAAGGCAGCTTGAATACAGCCTCTTGAGATGATCAGCCTCCCTTAATGGCAAAACACTTTTACTTTTGCTCTAGTGGTCTATCTAAAGCAGCATGTACAGATTCTACAAAAATCTTCTAATGTCTGTTATTTCCAGTTTAGTGTTTTTGAAATCAAAGTAATAATGTTCAGGTTTTCTTTTTCACTTTCCTTCCAGAATTCAGCTTTAAATGCTACACAGTATTCTGAGTATGACTAGGCTTTGTGCTTCTCTGCCCTCTGGATATGTTCTGGGTGCATAGCTTGGTTCATTGGCTACATTGATTCATCTACATAAATTAATCACCTTGTAATCACAACATTTTTAATAAGGTCCACCGGGGAACCCAACTCTTTTGTTAACTACCATTCTTACCACAGAGAAGTATTTGGAGACCAGAGTAATCAGAGAGAGCAAGAGTTATAATGAGTCACTAGAGGCATCCTCTGGTCTTATCTATGATGTTAGCATGCAACAGAGGAACACAGGAGATTAATTAAAAAGATGAATTTTCCTCTGGGTCATCTTAACAGGCAGTCCTTATTGACCTGCAATTTGTCAAAAGTAACTGAACTCTAGGCTTCTTTTTTCTCTGAACTTTGTGTGTTCAGATTACAAACACCTAGCCTCTTGAGTACCATTTGACCCAGCAGAATGGAAGTAAATTACTACCCTACAACTCTACTCCTCTGTGCATAGCTTCCTTCATCATTAAAAGAAAGCACAACTTCAACCTAGATGCTAGTTAACTACTTCACCAGGGCCCTGTGTGGGTAGTTAGTCCATACAATTCACTTATTCTTTTCATTTCCAGCTGAATCTGAATCTGTCCGTTGTCATAGGCCCAATTAGGGTTGAAGTTCAAGATAATAAATTCTTTTTTTTTTTAACCTGGTTCAAGTTAATGATTTATTTTCACCTGTAACACTAGCAGAGAAGTCAAAAACAGACTGACAGACATGGATAAAGTTTATAAACGGAACAAAGAAAGATCTGAACTATGTACACTGAAGGAGGAAAAGGGATTTTTCCATATCAACTTTTCCTATTTTGCAGTTTCTGAATAGTAGAAACTAAACATTTTCCCCCAGTTTAGTATGAAGGAACACCACTTTTATGATCAATCATTTGTCCTTAAGCATAAAGCCTAAGAGATTTTGGCTGTATGGTTGTCCTGGCTTCTGAAGTCTGGGTATTGTTAGAACATTTAAAAAAAAAAAAAAGAAAAAAAAGGAGTGTTCCATGAAGCCCTGAAGGAACTTCATGGGGACACTGTGTCTACTCAAAGGGCAGACAGTGCCCATCATGCTGACGAGAACTGATATCCTGCCTTCCTCGACTGTAAGGAGAAAATAGTACTTTTATCAAACCATCTGGAAGTGAGCCAAACAGTTATAAAGTCAGAATGAAGCATGAATTTTCCTTTCACAGAGGAGGGACACTCCTTCGGCCCTGTTTAAAGTGAATTCTGTGCTGAGTCCCTGCTCCTCCAGAAGGAAAAACTGAAGGTCAGTTATTGCTAGCAATGCCAGAGGAGACCCCCCTTTCCATCTTGAAGCTATTTCACACGGAAGGCTATGGGTTTGGCTTGAAGCCCTCTGAGGAAAGAGGGTGTGGAGGTGCAGGCGGCAGGCTCTGCAGGGCTTCTCCCCCAGGAGCCACCCCCGGGCCACTCTGCCACCTCCTTGAGGACCAGAGGCTCTCACACCTGGAGTTGAGCAGAAGGGTGTTATCTGGGCCCCTGGGGAGGAGGGGCCACAGAACTTTGCCACCAAAATCTAAGGAGCAATCGAAGCCCAAAGGATCAAGGCCCAGTGGCCAGAAGAGCAGTCTCTGAAATGAATGTCAGTTGCGGGGGTGGTGGCGCCCAGCTTGAGTCTGGAGAGCCGAGCTTTGAGTCGCAAGTGGCTGTGACTTGGCCAACAGGATGGACGTGGGCAGCTGATAAGGCCACAATTACTGCCACCGCCACCCAGGTCTATGCTTGAGTAGACGTTAGGCAGTGGGAACTGAGGACCAGAGGGCCTATGGTAAACACGGGATGATTTTTATCAGAAAAGAGGACACCCGGCCATGTGCCTGCCCCACTGTGACTCCTGCGCCAGGTGAGCTCGGGCGCGGGTCCAGGGCCTGAGAACAGGTGGTGAGCAGGACGGGGCAACACAGGCACTGCTCCGCAGGTGACACGAGGCCCCCCCAAGGACACTGAGAGTGCTACATCTCCTGGGCTGCTGAAAAGGAGGCAAAGAACAGGCTTTATTGCACATTTCGTTCTTAGAAAACTAGGGATTGCCCTGCCAAGGCCTTGGTGATCTGCAGGAACCTCTGATATCGATGTAGGTGGACTCATGGGTGGCCTCTAAATCACAAGGGATGGAAAACAAAGTCCAGTGGTTGGTCTTTCTGGGGCCACGCTTGCTTCTGGGATCCTCAGACTGGGTGGACCGTGTGTGGCTTGTCACTGCGGTGAGCAGATGCCTGGGACGAGGTAGCATGCCCAGGAGAGCTGGGCGGACCTGCATGCTCTCTGACCAGGGCTGGTGCTCCACGACACCACCAGGAGGAAGATGGGGCAAACTCTCCAAACAGGGAAAACTTCTTGGCAAACGGGCAGCTTCTGAAAGAGGCTAGAACCATGCTTCTCATTTCCAGCATGCCTGACTCCCTCTCTCTACCCTAGAACCAGACTATCCAGGAGATGTCGACCGGCTGGGAGGGGCCTGGCTCCAGCTCCACGGCATCCAACTAGAGGTAACAAAAGGATCTAAGATGGGGTTGGAAACAAGAGAGCAGTTTACATACTGGACGTTGATTCTGCAAGTCTTTTTGAGCTCAAGAAACGGGAGGCAGACGAGCCACGTAAGGCGCACAGAGAGCCCGCCAGGCTCTGTGTCCACTTGTCTTTCCTGAGCAACACTCGGCACTTCATATGTAAATGGGGTGGTACCGTTTGTGGCTCATATTTTTCCTGCAAGTTGGGCAAGTGTTAGCATTCTTCAGGGAATCACGGAGGCACTGGCTACAGAATCTGAATCTGAATCTGTCTGTTGTCATAGGCCCAATTAGGGTTGAAGTTCAAGATAATAAATTCTTATCATCTAAAAATCTAGTAAATTCTTATCACCTAAGTGAGAAATCTGAGTTTACCTGCTGTAGCTGGTTCATCTTACGGGACAGAAAGCAGACACTCCAAAAGGTTACGTGACTTGCCTAACATTACACAGAAAGCTTGGGATTGAACAAATCTAAAATTAGAACTCTAAAATTAGAAATTTAGAAATTTAAATTTAGAAATCTAAAGTTAGTTCCATAGTTCAGTGTTCTTCCAATGAAAATCATTAGAGTATCTGCCACGTGAAGACAAGTCTGGGGAAAAAAAGAGATTGCTTTCATTGAATTGTGGTTAGCAAAATATTGATGCCTTATATTCTTTTTTCCTTTGAAATGTTGAAATCTCTCTCACCACTTCCCTTTTCTCTCTATTCTCATTGACATTGTTCGTATTAACTCATGTTCCTAATGTCAAGGTCTCTACACAGGTTGGTAAAGAATTTCCAGACATGAGGCAGAGAGAGAAGAAAATAGTTTATTAGAATGGGAGATACTGTCAGCTGGCTGGCTCAAGGGGAAGTTGACACCTTTCAAGGGCTTGTAGCCAATTTTTATAGCCTCAAGACAAAGAAAATTCCAGCTGGAAGGGAGGCATCAGGTGATTGGTTAGGATGCTATAGGGTGGGTAATAGGATGGGTATTTTTACCTAGTATAGATTTAGGTCAGAGGCTTATGGGAACAGTTGCTACAGCCCTTGGTTAGTTCCAGAGATGACCTTGGTGCAGGGCTCCATTTCTGTGGCCTTGGTACAGGTCCTGCACCTGTGACCTTGGAATAGTGCTCCACACCTAATGCTATCACAGCCCCCTTTCTTCGGCTTCTGCATGCCAGTCATTTCTATTTCTAATCTATCCTGCATGGTGGCGGTTTGGTGGTTTAGTCGCTAAGTCATATCCAACTCTTGCAATCCCTGTAGCCCACCAAATTCCTCTGTCCATGACATTCTGCAGCTGAGAATACTGGAGTGGGTTGCAATTTCCTTCTCCAGAGTATCTTCCCAACCCAGGAATCGAACCCAGGTCTCCTGCATTGCAGGCATATTCTTTACTGACTGAACTCTTAATGAAGTCCTCTATCCTGCATATCACTGACAAATAATCTTCCTGAAAGAAGATCACGTTCCAATCTGTTTAGTAAAATAAACTATAATCTTTCTAAATAATTTTACGTGTCTTTGTCTGTGCTGGGCCTTCGGTACAGCTCGAGCTCTTCTCTAGGTGCGGTGAGCAGGGGGCTACTCTCTAATTGCAGTGCAAGGGCTTCTCATTAGGGTGGATTCTCTTGTTTCAGAGTACCAGCTCTACGGTGCATGGACTTCAGTAGTTGGGGCTCACAGGCTCACTAGTTATGGCTCATGGGCTCTAGAACACAGGCTCAATAGTTGTGGCCCATGGGCTTAGTTGTTCCACAGCATATGGGATCCTCCCTGACCAGGGATTGAACACATGTTTCCTACATTGGCAAGTGGATTCTTAACTACTGAGCCACCAGGGAAGCCCCCTAAACTATAATCTTGATGTCACTGCTCTGCTTAATTACCCATGCGATGTTAAGTGCGGGGGTTCTAATTATATTTTTTGCTCAAATCTCTATTTGATGACTCCAAAATAACTTGTTTAAATTTGTCTAATTCATGGAAATTGCAAAAGTACACAAGAAAATTTGGGGGAGTGATGGTTATAATTAATTTGTGGTGATGGCTTCATAGATGCACACATATGTCAGTATTCTTCAAACTGCATATGTTAAATGTGTTCAGTTTATTGTCTGAAACTTATACCTCAATAAGGCAGTTATGAAAAAGAAAAAAGGCTTTCTGAAGTAACCATTATGAGGTCATTTGTGAAGGTCAACCTTCACAGGACTGAGTTCTATAGAGAGTAATGTAAGGCAAGTATGGAGAAAAGAGAGCGATCTGGGCAGACAGGGAAGAAAAGGAAATTTATTAAAGAGAAAATGAGTCGGTGACTGGCCCTCAGGAAGAACTAGTGCCCTCCCTTTCTGACAGGATCCTTCTTATATCCGACCAACAGAAAATTCTCTAAGAGGGTGGTTAATTTTTAGCCTGCAGCTGGAGTCTTGCAGTCACTTAGCCTGAGGTCTGGAATCCAGTGGTCGAGAAGCCTTAAGAGAGCAGGCGCCAGAGGAAAAACAGACTGTCGCTTGGGTAATGTGATCAGTCTCAAGGGTCACAGTGACTTCATTCTTTGTTTGCAAGGTCAACATAATGAGCCATTTTAACCATGAGCCCCTACATAGGCCCTATCAATAGGTCTGTGGACTGAAGATTTATGTCTTCCCAAAACTCATACTATGAAATCTTAAACCCAATATGATGGGGTTTGGAGGTAGAGTCTTTGGGAAGTAGTTAGAATTAGACTAGGTCATGAGGATGGTGCCCTCATGATAAGAGGAGGGTTTCCCTGGTAGCTCAGACGGTAAAGCGTCTGCCTACAATGCAGGAGACCTGGGTTTGATACCTGGGTTGGGAAGATCCCCTGGAGAAGGAAATGGCAACCCACTTCAGTATTCTTGCCTGGAAAATCCCATGGACTGAGGATCCTGGTAGGCTACAGTCCATGGGGTCGCAAAGAGTCAGACACGACTAAGCGACTTCACTTCACTTATAAAAAGTAGAGAAAACACAGGATTTCTCTCTCATCTATCCACCATCTAAAAATATAATGAGAAAATGATCCTTTGAAAACCAGGAAGTGGGCTCTCACCAGACACTAAATCTGCCAGCATCTCAGTCTTGGACTTCTAAAAATGTGAGAAATAAATGTTTCATGTTTAAGTCATCTAGTCTATTTTTTATAGCAGCCAAAACAGACTAACAGATATAGAAACCCGACTGGAAGAACAGTGAGTGCATAGCTAGTATTGGAAGCAAATAATTTGTTGATGAAATAAAGAAAAAATAGGATAAAAGCTCAGTCAGGAAACAGAACCACAATTGGAAATTGTTTAATTATAGGAAAGGTCCAAGCATGTTTACAGGCTGAGGGGATTGATTCAGTGGGAATAAAATTGAAGGTGTCAATGAGGAGGCAGTAAATGGTGTAGCACAGTCCCAAGGGAGAATGGAAGATACCACAAAAATTCAGCATCTCGCTCACACAAAGAATTTGGGAAACAACCCCAGAAATATAAGATGCAGATATATCCCTGCAAGTTTCCTTAGCAACTTTGAAATCTACATGCATTTGCCCTGGTGTCTCTAAGACCAGTTCTACCTCTGGGATGTTTTCCAAAAATAACTCCAATTCTCACAAACTTCACTTTAACACACCATCTTACTAAACTCTTTGAACATAGACTGCTTTTGGATGATAAAACCCTGTCAAATTTCTCTCATCTCTAAGCCCAGCTTAGCTAACTCCACTCCACCTTGCTGTACATTTGAAGCAAAGTGTTTTCCACATATTCCCTGAGTTCTTCTCATGGTATCTATTACAACACAGAATTATTTTCAACTCTCTTTTCTGCCCTACTCAGGATACAACAGGTATCTTAGGGGACATTCTAGTTTTCATGATAAAAATTCCAAATACTATATGTCCATAAATTGAATTCCCCAGAAAATGGAGTTCTGTCCCCCAACGTCCTTTGGATTTCTGGTATCAAAACATGGATGATGGAACTGAAGCTGAAGGAGATTCACTTTTTCCCTTTCCTGAAGCATCATCATCAGGGAGCATCGTAGACTTTGAAATATTTCAGGT